GAATGGGGGAAAAATAAATCAATACCATAACTTGTACCTTGCATCCTAGTATGGGAATCACTATGACAGTAGGCACATGCTGGTACATGCTGGTACATAAGGCAGCTGTATATTATCTGGCAGCCACAATTACACTACATTGAAAAGGAGGCATGCCGTACCTGTGTGCATACTGCATAGGTTTGGAAAAAATGAGGCGTGCAGGAATTTGGCAACCTTACTGATTGAAGGGGCACAGGCAGCCTGTGCCGGTGCATGGCAGCAACCTACATGGGAACTCGGAAACCTAAAATCCGAAATGTACAATCTGAAAAATCTGAAGAAATTTCTGGCATTTTGTGTAGATGCCTTTCCCAAAAAAGTCTTTTAAGTTCTTTTGTGATAGACAATTATCAAGAAACATGGGGTTTAAAACATTCTATTTCAAATTTTATTTCAAAAACTAAAATACCCAGCTTCAAACATTAATGGTATGAAACAGATTGTGTGTTGGTTGAGGCCTAAAGTACCGGTACTTGTACAACTCTTTTGTCCTCATTATCAAAGGCAAGAGGCCCTTAGTAAGGAAATCCAATAAGACAGCCCTGCTGATCTCCCGTCTATACTGCCTAGATATTGGTAGCACACGCCCATATTGCTAAGCAATATGCAGCCTCCATAGCTCCATTTTGGGGGCTTCCTAGCTAAGATGGCTGCCAACACCTTTCATCAGCACAGTGCACTGTAATTTATGTACCAGGTTGTTGAGCAGTATAGACAAGTATCAAGTGACAAGTACCAGGTAAATAATTCCTGGTTAAACATATGCATGTAGGAAATTACCTATGGTTAATACCCCTAGTGTAAGTACATGTATATACATGTACATAAACCAGTCCACACAAAACAGCCTTCAAGCATCATGACACTCTAATCCCTGAATAAGATTTTAAGTCTCCTGGTAAGAATCTGACCCCCTAGGGTGTGTGTAAAATCATATTGAAATCAGAGGATTGAGGACTGTTCGGGTTGAGTGCATGAGCACAATCGGCCCCCCCCCCAAAGATGGTGCCACGTGACATCTACACCTCGGTCTCAAAATGCTACCCAGTCAGTAAATAAAGATCAGTTTGAACAGCCCCTTTAAATTGTAGCCACCAGGGCTGGGGCGAGGGTGTCAGCATTCAGGCCTGCCAGTGCTGGTATCTGCCTCCTGTTGGACGCAGGTGTTGATAAAATGCCAGCGGGCATCCTGGCAAAATGGAAACAGCATGACGCAGCGGGGTGGGTGTGCGAACGAGCCTGAATGCAGCCGTGATGAAGCCAATGCCTAAGAGACCTATACCACTGCCTGCTGTGCTTCCAACCAGCGGGTTCATTAAAGGGTGCTAAATATACCACTTAGCACAGCAGATGCAGGCTCCCACCTAGGGCTGGCTGATATTCTCAGTATCAATCTTATTTATTCATTATCTTTTTTCAAGGGGACTATGGAGAGGTACACGGTGCCAAGCTGGGGCGCCTTCAACAAAACCAAAATTGATAAAAATAGCAACTTGTCACTTCATGCAAGAATGACATGCATGGTGCTAATTGCTCACTTACTACAACCCTAACATTCACGAGAAGACAAATAGTCAAATGCAATCACCACTTGTCTCTGTGATACCTAGAGACATACACGTAACGTCAACTGTTGCCTTCTTATTGCACGTGTAAGGCCATGCTTTATTCATCAGTGCCTTAAAATCAGTCTCAGCATTGACTGCGAACAACCAGCAAGACGACAGAATATCTCAGGTGACGTGACCTTATTAGTGCTGTCTCCAGTCAAGGCCGTGGCCAGGCTGAGGACAGCAAACAAGCTTGTCACAAGGAAGGGGGGGGGACTGGCAACAAATTCACAGCCATCTCCGAACTGTCGGCCAACAAGCCCCTCCGCCTGCCGTGGCACTTATTGCTTGTACCCCAGCCAAGCGTGAAACGCAACCGCCAGCTGCAAATTACTGGCATGATGAAGCATGGGCTGACGGAGGTAGTGGTAAGAGGTGAGGGAGAGAGGAGGACAGGTCGTGGCACACAGCATGCTGCCTGCAGCGGTAACGCAGCACAAAGTCCAGCCCCGTTATTAAGTTTACCGTGTGTACAGTAGTCCTGCTTGTTTCTTATGCTTCCCAACTGCAAGATCTGATCTTTCCAACAGAAACGAACACAGTCAAGCCAACTTTTCTCCGGAACGTGTACTACAATTCTGCATCAATAATCACAATGTGCAACAGTGAAACACCGACAGAATACTGCGGTACAAAGTCACAATGTAAGAAATTACTCTCTAAGAGGCCAAAAGTTCCATAGCCGGACATTTCATCCTGGAAGTGCTGCATAAAACTAAACATTTGATACCTGATGACTGACAAACTCCTCCCCTCATTGACTTCCCCAGCCCACAAACGGTAATTACATGGCACTTACCAAGAAATTAATGCCAAGATCACAAACCATCAATCAATTATGATATAACAAATGCTCATCAGTCTGAAGTGATTGTTAGAGATGCTTCCCACTCAGGGATACGTGTACAAGTACATTGGAAAGAAGAGAAATAACGACGGAGGGAGGAAAAAGGCAGAATGAGTGGAAATGAAAATGACCTTGCACGACCCATCCGAAGTGAGCTGAGAGGATACAGGCAGTTGTAATAATCAATGTCCTTCAAGATTGTTTTTTTAATATCTGTGTGCAGTACTGCGGTAGCTCTTTACACAATGCCGACTTGCACTGGTAATGAACCGTCTTGCATAAGAAAACGACAACACCATTGTTACCATGCATTTGTCAATATGCATTGTGCCAGGGTGGAATTTCTGCATGGACGAAAGGGAATGAAAAGGCCTTCTGCAGAAAAAAAAAAAAGACAGGGTGTACATGTGCTGTACATGAATGAAGCTGAGATGTCTGCTTTTGAGAAGTCAGATTATCGTGAGCACACAAGCTACGTACCGTACTAAAATGACACGTGCTGCATACATGTCCATGTACAGGGACATGTACACCACACACCATAAATCCCAAAAAGCACTTCCTCCTAATGGTACAGTCCATTATTTGTCATTTGTGCATTATATTCCGTTGAGATAAAGAAATTGCTCAAACGCTAGAGAAGGGTACCCAAGGTCAAACCTGCTGTATCTGCCACGAAAAACAAAATTCTGTTAGCTTGAATTCCAATCAAAAGTTGCTGGGTCATGTTTTGAATCATGCCTGAATTCAGCATCTTGGATACGTCCTCAAATTCAGTCGAATACAGCAGTACACGAAGTCACGCACTGAACAGATTATAGTAACCGCACAAATGTGTGTGCAGCGTTAATGTACATGTGCAGGCTTCTCATTCCAAATTTTCTGTAAATGTGTCTCTAGATACTTGTACATGTACATTGTTGAAAATGGTCTCTTCTCTGTAATTCCTTCAAAATGACAGCTCCCATAACCATCTTTAAAACTTTCCGTACGCTTTTCAAGAATAAATTATTCAGTTACATGTACTTTCCGGATAACTGCAAAGTGATGGACTGTACATGTACCTTTAACTACTACATGCAGCATGAATACCTCCAGCTCTAATGCTTATGGAATTGGAAAATATGCATTTACCGATGAAATGAGTTATACAGATTGAGTTACTCAAGCCATATGTACATTTAGATGTATTCCATTAAGGGTTTACTCCGGTTAGTGAAGAGTCTCTGTTTCAAACTTTAAATGAATGCCTGTGAAGCTCAAGGCCTCTAATAGTGAATAAAGATTCTAACTACAGGTAATTCAAAAAATGTCTTCATATTTAATCAATCTGTTGTTGACATAAATATCAACACTTTTCCAATTTTGTCTGAGGAAATTACCAACTACAAAATGTTTGCCCTCGGAAGGCCAAGAAGTGCAATTTGAACATATATGAATGAAACCATTAAATACCAGTACCAACATTTCCGCAAAACTAAAAGCAAAGATCACAACACCAGCATGTTGCAGACAAGCTTCATAATGCAGACTTTCCTCATCACTGTCCTCAAACTGCATGGTGTTGCCTCCAAGCCCCAGAACCAAACCGGGGCCAAGGGAAAGATACCACCTACATGTACATGTACGTGTACACACCTTCAACAGTTCCAACACAGAGCAACACTGTGTGGTGAACCAGGGGTGAAAACGGGGGATGAACAGTAATTCATGAAACATTCCAAGAGAGAGGTTGTAACAGTAACAACAATAAAATATGAGAACCTTTCAAGGTTTATTTACATGTAGCTAACAAGGTCCCAGTCTTATTCCTCAATCAGTGCAATTTTGTGACCCTTGGACTAGGTTTTTTCTTAAAATGTGTACAACATGGCAAAAACTGGATAGATTCACCTCTAAAAATCCAGTTTGAGGGTCAAAAGTTCCTGAAATCCTGAAAAACCTTGAGAAATCACACTCCTGATATATGTCAAATTTAAGTAACAAGAGAGTTCACTTTTTATTTTAAAGCCTTATACAGGGTTGGCTCTACCCAGTGTTTTTTCTACACAGTGTTGGCTCTACAAGGGTGTTGACTTTACCCAGTGTTGGCTAGGGCTACTCAGTGTTGGCTGTACAAATGGGAATTTGTTTTCTATTGTCTATTTCTTTCGGTAAATAATTCCTATAACATATGATAATTTTAATGGCAACACATCAGCTTCCCCCTCCACTGTTTACGCCACTGTTCTCATCCCATTGGTTTTAGTGACTACTGTAACGCTAATCAATACCCAAATTAAACATAGCTTATGGCCCCATCACTGATGTTTTCTCACAAGCTATATCTTAACCTGATTTCAAATCACCATGAAAGCAACAAATTTTCATGGAAAGTCTTCTCACAGGCTGGCAGGTTTTAGAAGTAAACATTTCAAAGTGTTCATTCTATTGTGCCCATTATAAATGTAGTTATTTGGAATCACATTGAGGAGGGGACAGCAAGACCAGGATAGACTTACTTGGCCTGGGCTTCTGCCTGCATGAAGATAAACTCCCACTTCCTTGAGAACATTCGCTGCAGCTTGGCCAAGTTCTCCTGTTGATCATAAGGTACATGTAACACAGACAATTAGACCAGCATGAATTCTTTTCCCTAAAAGCTGCTGTTGAAGGTTGAATATCTATTCAACTTTCTTCACCAATGAGATGTACTGGTACAGAACCAGTCAAGGGGACAGGCATACATGTACATGTGCAAAGGGGACAAACTGTAATTCCTGTTCTTGGTGTATAGTCCTGTGCTCAACTCTGTCCTCTGTGGTGAATCCCAAATGCCAAGGCTTCATCCGAAGCTGTTTGTCAAGAGCTACAGGTACATTGTAAATCTAGGTCTTCGTTTCATTTGAATACGCCTTTTGCAAGTTAAATTTGAATAAAATCCGCTACATTGAATATCTGTTTGCACATAAACACAGTAATTTGAATTCCCCTGACTAAAGACACTGTTGCTTCAACTCGTGATTTGGGGCAAGGTGTTGTACAGTGACCACCATCTCTGGAATGGACTGGCTCCTTTGTGCCCTTCTTATCCACTGAAAACAGTGTATTGGTGCAAGGTGTGTCTTAAGTAACTAAGGAAAAGCTTGTCCTGAATCACGAGGTATAGCAACAGTGTCTTTAGTACACAGACTTCGAATTCTTACATGTATGTTCACGTGAATTTAAAGAACTCAGTGTACCAGATTTTATTCAAACTTAACTCACACAAGGCTTATTAAAAGATACTAACAATAGATGTATCCACAGCTCCAGAAGCCTGTTTTGGACACGGCCCCAGTCTATTAAAGACTACAGGGAAAACATGGATTTGTCCTCCATGTACTGTATACTGTAGTAAACCATGATTGACTGAGAATCTGTGTGCATTTATATTTCCCCCAAATTTGTGAATTGTACATGTACCATGTGTACATCTGACCTAGAGAACACAAAGTCAAACAGCTAAACAGTAGTCAGGGTAGTATCTTGAGATGTTGCTAAACTTTATGTATCGGTACGTGTACGTGTAGATTGACATCTTTTCATGTCAATGTAAGCATGTGTATGCAAATCAATGTACATGTACAATGTACATGTGCATATGTATGAGCAGACGCATGTACATGTACCATTACACGTTAGTTCATACCAAATTGGCAAATTCAATCATGCATTTGATGCGAATCAGAGGGAATATGACAACATACATGTACATGTAGCAAGAAACTGCACAAAGTATGGACAGAAATGTGAATCCTACCCGTAATTATTTTACTGTAAACATTAATGATGCGTTTGCATCACTTGAAGGACAAATTAATGTGGTCATACTGACAATATCAATATCAATCAATTGATAATTCACTGAGGAAAATTACCAGTTCATTCACATTTAAGGGTAAACATAAATATAAATTACTAAATAATTATTTATCTAATAATTAAGTTATGTCTCTTGGGGGTACAGCTTACACATGATTGTGTGTATATTTCATTTCTTGTGTATTCATATTTTCCAGCTACCGGTACATGTAATTGGTAATAATGTTTGTCTGTAGTTTGGAGCCTCCACTCAACAAGCAATGCTTCTTGGGGGTCTCCATCCATCAACTATATATGTACTGTTGTTAGCTTTCTATATTATCTGTGAATAAAGTGAAGTGAAGTACATGTACCAGTTTTGATACTTGTCAAACATATCTCTGTCAAAAATCATTAACTCTGAAGAAAAAAAAAAGGACACCAAAAGGAATGCACGTTTGTAAAGGATCTGAAGGACTGAGAGATCTGCAGGTAACCCCCCCTCAAAAAAAAACACACACACACACACAAAAGGTCTGTGGGGAAACACCTTCTACAACATCAGACTTCTGGGGATTGTCAGAGAACACTGATTAATGCCCCATTACAAAAGACGATCAACATTATGCAGTGTCTCTTCATGTACACATACATGTACATAATGAACCAGTGCTGGACAAATCTCCTCAAAACATGGTTGCCCCCCCCAACTGCTTTCATAAAAAGTGGTTGCCCAGTGTTTCAGCTTGGTAGCCCAGATCAAACCTTGCTCACGAGTGTCGTTTTGCAGTGAACATTGAAACAGTGTCCAACCACAAAATCCTACTGCACTCAAACAGAAAGATTTGACATGATCTCTGGCTGATACACGGTAAACTGCACTAAAAATATAAGATTTGACATGATCTCTGGCTGACACACGGTAAACTGCACTAAAAATATAAGATTTGACATGATCTCTGGCTGACACACGGTAAACTGCACTAAAAATATGGGTCAATTATGTCTTGTACTTACATGTATTATACAGGTACATAAGGGCTTGAAATTGGGCTAAATATCAGTACTTGCTCCCTAGACAGACGAATTTGTTAGTTTACAGGAGCAAGTACATGTAGCTTCCATAAGCCATATATGTTCTATAAACAACTTAAGGCCAAACAAAATAATAGTTGTGCTTCCTATTACCATGATTACATTGAAAAAAAAATAGGGTGGGTAGGCAGGTAGTATTTTTGTTTCTTCTTCTAAAGTTTTTGGGTCAAAAATTTTAGGGTGGGGCTTTTTTTTTTAAATCAAAAAGTGATTTTGATGGTACATGTACATGTACATGTATACAGTGTGTTTCATGCACTTTTTTTTTCCTGCGGATTTGTAGCTTGAGGATCAGTCTTGTCAAAGATTGCATCCAGGTCAGTCTCTTCAGACAATTGTACATTTATGTTGCACTGGCATTTCGATAAGTTAATGTCCAAAATTTATTGGAAGCTTGTACAAACCGATGCACATACACGTAGAGCACTTAAAACCCGCGCGATGATGCATGACACAGTAACTTTGCGCGCCCCAGCCCACACCAGTTGTAACGAAACCCTTTATCTCCGAAAGTTAAAATGTACTAACCTTAATGTCAAGCCGTAAATTCACAGTGAAAGGTGTGCTACTGCAAGTCATAGCGGAGATTGTTAGTCACAACTTCCGCTCACGCAGGCATGGCTGTAATGAGTCCCACTGACACATGTATGAATATTGATGTTTCATTGGCAGCCAATCACAACACAATGACCGGATGGTCCCTGAATGCTCTTTAAACATAAGGCTTGCACTTCAAGCTAGCCGGTCACACAGCAGATACATATGTGTGTACGCATTATATACTGTACAATGTACAATGTACAAAAGATTCAGTCGCGTAAATTACGGATCTCCAGTGCTGTTAGTCCTGGCCGAGTGTGTGAGCCTACTGGCGCTCGGTGACTCTGTAAAAATTGTACTTCCATGACAAGGGTGATCTGAAGAAAAAAGTTCGAGTATTTCTCATGGCAAGAATAGAAACAAGTGGGCGTTAGTACTTGCACCTTTCTTTATATTTAGGGGCGAATTTATGAGATGAACAGGAGCTTTTTAGCAACCTGCGGATGACTACATGTACGTCTACATCATCAAGAATGGGAGGCATTCTTTGAGTGGTTTCTCAATTATTTTAGAACATACAAATAAAACTTTCCTAGTGCCCCGCGCTATGTCGAAGTCAAATCGTACTTCTTCATAAATTCTCCATACACCCGGGTTAGTCTGGTTCCCAGAACTGAGGAATTATTGGTGAATCTGCAGGCTAGGTCAGGGAACCGGATTACGTACACATACAGTATACAGTTTGTTCACATGACACACACATCGGCCCATCGCAAACTCAGGCAAAACCTCACTGAAATTTGTGAGTTGGATCGAGGAATTCATTGCTTGTATTTCTCTTAAAACTGTACCGGTATTTACCAATTGAGATACAAAATAACAATGTGTGGAGAAAAATCAGGACTGTACTTATACCAGATTTTTCTGGTTGTCCATGGACAACCAACTGTGGAAATTCTTGTTGTAGAGAAATATTTTTTGGTTGTCCCGGGTGCCCAGGCAACCAATTTAGCCAGGACTGTGCACTCTGATACAAATAGCATTCAAGTTCATATGTTTACTTCAAAGAGGGCAGTATAACCGTCTTGTCTGTATACCAGTAGTTCATGTCACTGACACTGCACACAAACTGTGCAGGAAACAGATGGGTTTATGTCTGCAGCAAGAGGGCAGCATGATGTACATGTATGTACAGGAAGTGTGTTTTTCACAGCCACCTTGACTGTGCCTGCCTGGATGGGCACATGTGGAATTTAAAGTAATGTGAAAAAAGGCTTGTGAATGCTTTTTTCAGCTTTGGGGAAAAGTGAACCTTCATGACAAAAACTATATTGTTTTTTTTCCCAATGTAAAATGACCTCAGGTTTGTCAAACAATTTCATGAGAATCAATTTGTAAAGCCAAGTACACTTATGGACCTGTGGCACCGTTTGGACTGTCCATTAGGGCTATCATGTGCAGTAATTTTTCAATAAGCAAACAGCTTAAGCTCAGCTGTTGACTAGTAACAGCTGTTGCTTCAAAAAGAATAGATAGATGGATCACAGCTTGGCCATGCATGCTCAATAAGGAAACGATGCAATCTGGTTGTTTAAAGTCAGTAGAGAACAAGGTTCACGTAGGTGACATTGAGAAAAAAGTGTGAACTGACACTCTGTTTTTCTCAGGCATCTAACCCCTGCATACCATCGTACATGTGCACGAAAAAGTTTTAATCCCGAGCACTAACGAGCCTTTCTTAAACACGTACAGACTTAAGTTCAGTATTGCAGAACGTGTGCACATTATTCATGTTGTTAAACACAATGACAGTTTGGAAACTTCATGCGTGCATAGCCAATACAAAATTGAATACCATGACACAGGTGATGTGCATGTGTGGGTAGGCCTTCACCAGGTTAAGGGGACAATTTCTTTAGTCACGAAAAGTAGGACTAAGTTATGGGGATATATTTCTCTGTCGCCATAATGTTTTCGGTCCCCACAAAATAGGGGAAACGCTGTGTGTTTGTCCCCACAAATATGGAACAAGTACATGTATCACTGTGGTTGTGTGGGCGGTGATTAGAATACTGCCCTCTTGTGGCGGCTGCTAGGTCTAGTCTCATGAATATTTAGTGTGGATCTTGCTCGCCACACATGTATATGCACCGTAGGGTTTAAGAAAACTAGTTGTTTGTAGGTTGTTTTATTGCACTAATTTTGCCCTGTTTTCTTGGAAAAAAAAACATGTCATTCAGTTTTAATCATATTTATAAGATTCAATTTATGCATTAGGAAGGTATTAATCTGTCCATTGGAAGTTTTGTCCAACAAAATACCACAGAATTCTATGGTATGTTGGTGAAAGGCAAAACTCCCAATCTAAACATTTTCAATTTAATCATCACAAAATTGATGGCAAGACATCAAAACACTTTGGAATCACATAAAGGTTGAAACCAAACTCCTTTCTTGTGCACTTATTTTTGATTTTATTCTAGATGTTCAACAAAATACATGTACTATGAAATGATGCATCTGACATGTGCAGTCAAAATGACAGGCTGAACACCCGTACTCATTTTGGACTTATTTAAACTAAATACGGTATGAATGTAAGCATGTACACATCATTTCACCGTCAAATGCCAATGCCCACATGGACATGCCAAAAGTCATGGTTGAATACACATGACCATATTTCAACATGGTCATGGCCACGCCCACATGGCCACACCCACACACATGTATATATTGAGGTACTTACCGCTTCATAATCTGCCAGTTCCAGCCTGGACTTGTTTTGCATAGTTCGTTTGCACAGATAAACGGCTTGAGAAGGAAACAGAAAAACAAAGCCAGTATTAAATAATGATGCACAAAACCAGCCTTACTAAGAAGCACGTTAATGCAAAAACTTGCAAATTACTCACAGAAAATTAAGTTCTTGTTTTCAGTACAGCAAACGCTTTGACAAGCTTTGGCCCTTAATTGCTCACTGAAGAGATACATTTACCAATACATTATCCGGCTCGTAAGTGACTTCGTCACGAAGGCGGACGTGCCACGATTTGCAGGCTCTCATTGGACAATCGCTGAAGTTGCACGTTAACTTCTGGTTCCATGGTTCCATGTAAACAGTGATCAATGTATGTAACCCTATGTGCAGTGCACGTGTGCAGTGGGTGTGGTTTAAACTGAAATGACGCACACTTACCAACCGGATAAATGTTCCATATTTACATGTATTTGCATCTGTTCAACATGGTCACCTGCCGTTTCATTATATAAACGAGAATTTTCTAACCAAACATGGCACTAAGTGCACTTTATCTGTTCAAAACCTAAATGTTATTGGCTCATCATTTCTGACTCAGATGTTAAAAAAACACATCTCCCACCTTCATTGGTAACTAACAGCATTTGTACATAAAAATGGAAAAATGGGGCAGGTTTTAAGATGATTACAAGAGAAACTCAATATGATCACGCAAATGTACAGGATGTACCAGTGTCAAACCTCAGTGTAGGCAGACTTTTTGTACCTGGTCCTTTGTGAAAGTACATGTACGATGAACCGATAAAGATTTCTTCCATAGGTGGCATGTTTGTTACTTAATGGAGAGTAATTCTGGCCATGCAGGTTCTAAAACATGGACACAAGTGTAACTCACTGACTTTGAACCCACACTTTGGCACAGTGACTGCAAGAGCGCCCCTGCTTTGTTTGTCTAATAAAGTCCATTACTGGTCAGGCGAGTGTTCAACAAGCACACTCACTGAATGTAAGTATACATAAATTTGGCCTGTTATGTAAGAAAAAGGTTACCGGCTGAGACACTGTGGGATGTAATTTGGCTGGTTGACGTCATTTCTTTGCGAAGCAAATGGATCTTCTCCCATTGCCTGTACCCATTGACAGGGGGTTCTAAACCACACTTACCGTACACCCCCCCCGACTTGCACCAGTAGTACGAGAACAGTACCTGTATTGCTAAGCTGAAGTGGTTATGGCTAAAAGTGTGGCCCTTGCGTTACCCACTCAGAGTGAGTAATGTGACTGCCTATGCACCCTGGAGAGTTGAGACAGATGGGGGGGCAGAATAACCATACAAAGCCTGTCTACCAAAAATAATGACATCACGCAAAGGGCACTGATCATGCAACGAGAGTGCCATACACGAAAATGCCAATATTATCGAATTTTGCTCCCGCTGTTACAAACTTGGCAGGAGGTCCAGTCTTTTTGGAAGCCCAATCCATCAGCTTCCACTGAAAGCAGAACTGATTTTTTTTTCTCATTCAAGTTGTGGCTCTTGTACAAACTTACGGGCTGCTTTGAAAATGCCAGAGGTCAGGCTCTGTACCCCCCACCATGCACTTTTCAGTGGTACCGTTATCAGAGATGTTTGGACAGACATTCTGTTTGGATAACATTAAATACTGGTTCAGCCATGCTAAGTTTGATTGGCTACAATTTCAACTGTTGACATAACTGAAGTCACAATGTATACATGAAAAAGCAAAGACAATTTTCGCAGGATGAATTGCACCAATCCATTTCAGCTGTTTCAGCAGTAACTTGCTGTACCAATTTTTATGTTAAACACATGAAAGGACATCAGGAAATAGCTTGGCTGAAAGGTACTGGAAGTTATTATCAGGTTTTTAAAAAAATCAGATGAAACATTTACATTTTTCAAACAGATGAAAAAAAAAAGCTTCAACAGCAACTTTAGAACTAAGCTCGTTAACAGGAAAAAAATATATTGTACATGTAGATAAAAAGTCTTTTCAGTTACCCTCTGGACGGTGAAAGGCTCCTAAGCCCAGAGTGTTGCCACAATCCAAATCAGGTATGGCGCAGACCAGGGGATTGGTTAACCCCATTATCCATAGAATTAGGGTACAATTTGATGTAAAAAAGTCCCAGTGAAAGAATTTTCTGGACAGTTGTCTCAAACAAGGCAGATCATGTCTGGTTTGAATTAATGAATATTACTGGTATTTGTACTAAAGAAAGCAGTTCATGCATATTGAGAATTGTTATTATCATTTTTAGTCTGCTGGATGGTTTTTCCCACATTGCTCATTCATCATTCGATCTCTCCACATTTCTCTGTGTCATGGACGGCGGCAATGTGTCTAGGCTGGGCCCATACAGAGGATAGTGCAATGCAGGTCATGCAGGGTGTAAGATCACAGACAAAGGATACCAAAATTATCAAGGAGCCTGCAACAATGACAGGGTTTTTTTATTTTTTAAGGCATCCAAAAAACCAACACAAATAATATACAGAGATAGACTAAGAGCGTTTATCAGTGAGACAAACATGAAAAATCTTTACAGTCACCATTATTTTACATCTCAAAACTCAACATCAAAGTTTTTTAGAAATGATTTCTTTCACTCCTTTTACCTCAGTTCAAATCCCTAAATATTGTGAAATCTAACAGTTCTAAAGCATTTCCCACTATTAATTTGTAGCATGGGTATGGCTTTAAATGGGACGGGGAAGAGAAAGTATAACTATTAGGTGTGACAAGAAAATTCATGGTCCATGAAGCAAAGTACACCGGTACATGTAGCTCATCCCCTCAAACACACCCCAAATGATATTTTGGGAGGAAACAAGGAAAAATACAGCAGAAACACTAAAGAAGTGTAGAAAAAAATATTCAATGTATGCCTGATAATTCTCTTGCACTTTGTTTCATATGGAGCAGGGAAAATAAAAAAGGTTTCACGTTGTTGGAGAACAAGTCAGTTAGAGCCAACCTACCATAGTCTGTATTTTCGGGTTCCCAGCAGTTTGACGGCCAGAAGTAGGGTGTCTGAAACCTGTAGAAAGTGTTGTCATCTTTGAGTGTGAGGACGTGGTCGGTTATTGGGAAGAAGTAGCCATTTGCAGCCAGAAGTGACCCAAGATGAATGGCATTGACTGCGGCCAAAATCAAAGAAGAAAGAGGTAAGACATTCAAACCATCTGGCAAGTCCCCAATGATGCAAAGCCTGCATGGAAGTGATCATTACAGCATTGAAAGCTTATGGAAAGGACAATGGAGTTTTGTGCTGACATTTTGTGGGAACGCTTTCTCTTCTGTTTTCTTTACCATGGAAAGGTCTGTCCCAACTCTTGGAAACTGCAGATGCTTTTCAAGCCACAAAATGAAAATTACATCTACATCCTTGTATTACACATTCATTCTTATGTTCCATGCATGATAAAAAGAAAGTTTTTCTAATGTTATTGATGAACTACCAGTATCTGCTAACTGCAGCCCTGACAAGGTACTGTAGCCCAATGATAACACACATGTGAGCCTACATGTAAGGGAGGATGTGCAATCCTGGGAACCAGATGTATGGCTGCATCGCTGAAATCTTCAATTTGTCGGAAAATTTGCAATCTTTGGACTTGTTGCCTTTCACAAACAAAACACCTCCTGTGAGCTTCCATGGCAGGAAACCTCAAATTCTCGTTAACCACTTGCAAACTCATCCAAGGCACAACATTAATTTTCAACCAAAAATTATTGACTATTTGAAAAGACAAGATACCAAAATCACAGTTCTATTCAAAGTTGGACATCATGAATGCTGACCCTTGGTGGTCATACATGTGCATGTACTTGTGCACGTTTAAGATTTGCTCAACATTTTTTTGCAACTTCGTTGCTTTTTGGAAACTATGGACAACACTAGTTTGAGCCCATGTGTGCGTCACTCAAGCGCAGGGACATCACACATACATGTACATGTACAGCATTTGCCCGAGCATGTTCAAACGTACAGTGTTACAAGACAGGACATCCCTGTACATGTATGTTTACAAGCCATCCTGCATGATGTGGTTAACAATGTAAAGTAAATGCACATATCCATGCACAGTTTGACTTTTGTTAGGCATTTCACAATGTGCATGACTGTGATGCATTCCATGTATTGTGCAACCTGACCCATACCTTAATTAAATCTCAACTTGCACAAACCAATCTACTGACATGTATGCTGCAGAACACAATTACATGTGGACTTACTCATCACTGAAATCATAGATTGAACATCTGACTGAATAACTGGTTTTGAAAGATTGCATTTCAAAAATGCTTTCTAAAGTACATGTCCTCCCACAAAAGAATGTACATACAGAGGTCAGACTCCAATGCATGCAAACGATCCTCTTTCATCACAGACGCTGCAGTAAGTTTGTCCGATTTTGACTGTGAATTTCTGATGCCCAAATCGCTGTTTGCCATGATGCAGACAAAACTACAGTACCATTGTATAATTCCATGTACCGGAACAAGGCCATGTGAGTTTTGGACTTGTTAGAAAAATGCATTAGACATCATATTCAGCATTAATAAGCTCTAATGAGCAACAGACATAATTATGACTTGAGGAAAAAAAATCACAAAACTATTGGGAAGTCATGCCACCGTTGTTGTGCGAAACCTAAACATAATGGCCAGCTGAAATACATCTTGTGCAAGTCCTGCTGGCTGGTTCTACCCACCGGTAGAATTTTGCTGACCCACCAGATCTAAGTACACGCAAAAGTTTCAGTTTGATATCTCCATTTAAATATTATCAAACTGACATACATGTACATGTAGGCATTCATCAACTGAACTAGATAACTGGAAAATATCTTATCTCTAACATGAACAGGTACATGTAAGTAACATGCTTTGATTGCGGTTACCGCCTGTGGTGTTTCAACAATGAAGTATTATCTTCCTTGAGCAGATGCACCCCCTCATCAGTTGAAAAGAGCCAGGTTGGTGGGGAGTACAGTGTTCACTTTGTTGGTAGCGATGCAACCATAATGCATGCATGTCATAGCCATTTGTGGACAGATTACATGAAACCTCACGCAATGGCATAACTCCACTTATAACACGTTATTTGTGCAACTTGAGCAACAAATTAAGACTGATTCCATGAAAGTGACGCACTTGCATAAGTCTGCGAATTACACAACAAATTATGGCGTAACTTATGAAGTTATTTAAGGTGGTGTACATTGTGCCAAACGAAGCCCAAATGAATGATTTGACTAGTTTATCATGTTTGGTTAAGCTTCATTATTGCTCAACTTATGAGAAACGTACAACTTTGTGGGAGAAGGTCATGAAAAACTTGTGCAACATTTTCTGTCTGGTTCCGATTAAGCAAAGACGAAAACCTTTTCAACATTATGGACATAGGTGATTCAATGACTGATAACTTGTTATATTGGAAAGGAGCAGCCATCATAAAAGCTGTTCTTGTCCTGGATCAAGAAATTCAATATGATTAAAATGTGGTGAAGCTATGCAACTTTTTGTGAAATTGAATGTAAAAAAGGTACATTGCGTAGCTACAGCATAAATTTGTGGTAATAAGAATAATAATAAGGATAATAATAATTTAGAATTTATAGCGGGCCCTTCCTACCGAAGTGATCAAAGGCACATTACACTTAAAACTTATTTAAATCCAAGTACACAAAAAACCAATTGGTGCAAGGCTTAAACACGTACAATGTATATCGTGAAATCGGCTGCCGAACTTGGGCCCTCTCTTGGTTCAGCTTGGGGTACATTAACTTCTTTTTATTTTTCCTTTTGTTTGGATTGAGCAGGTGTTTGAATGTTGCTTGTTCTATGCACCATTTCGCAAAGTCGATTTCACTTGTTACGTTAGCCTTGTGATGACAAGTGCATTCTAAGTGATGGCACATGTATGTGTGTACATGTAGGAGGCTATTGTGTCTGATATGAATACTTATAGTGCATGAAAATCTATCTGACAGTTTTTTGTTGTTTTTTTCCCAGGAAAAACAAGGGAAAATGGGATAGGCAGGGGGCCAGCTTTCTGATTCTTCCTTCCCCCTTTGTAGCTTGGACACATTCCCAAGTTAATGCAGGCAGCCAACATGAAACATCTCTGGCTGGCGTGGCCAGTCTTGCCCTGTAATATTACAGACTACTCACAGTGCAGTTCAACCATGCTTGGGCTTTTAATGGTTGATTCAGGCACTGACTTAAATCAGGACCAGTGAGGAGAAAACCCCAGTATCTTGGTTTGACTACCTGAGCTACTGTAATAATTATGGATCTATATTTCTACGTGTAAGTGTTATGACGCTCCTGTACCTGTTTCAAACCATGTACATGTACTGGTACATGTACATGTATGTCACCCTATATGATGTA